TGTCGCTGAAGCCTCGTTTGTAAATGCCCGGTCTAGGGAAACCTTGAGAGGTAGTGACGATAACTCTCGCCAAGAAAACTATAGGCTCCCTTGCACAGGACGTCATTTCCGTTGCCCTCCAAAGAAGAGGGGAAGAAGGAGCTCCCGTCTTATCAGGACCCTCCTTTGTACCTCCCGGATTTGTACAGGCCGTCGCTATTTCTCCCCCCAGAAGATTATAGAAGATTAACCTGTCACTCAAAATTCTTACAAAAGCAGCTTCCCTCTCCTCCTCTTACTTGGTGTTCAAAAAGTGTGCGATGTGACGTCAGTGCAAGGAGGCCTATACATGCTTTGAACCTGACGTCATCCCGACAGCTCTACGGCCAGCACAAGAGAAAAGGGGAGGGAGGGAAACTCCCCACTCGAAGGGGACTCTATTTTGTGTGTCCCGGACACACAAAATAGAGTCCCCTTCTCCCTCTACAAGATTATAGAAGATTAACCCCGTCACTCAAAATTGACAACAAAAGCAGCTTTGCAGTTAGTTGCGGTGGCCCGATCGCTAGCGTGCTTCGACCGCTTCGGTGACTGGAACGGCTAGGGCATCCTGACGGACGTCCAACCTCGCCGCAGCTTTGCTCATTCCGAGAGAAAACTACGTCACGATTGCGCCGGATGTGACGCGCCCCTCCACTGGCTGCTCTCCGAGCACTTGCTAGAATGGGCCGTTTATAACGAAAAAATACAGCCGTCAGGCTCAAAAATACAAACGTGCGATTGCCATTTACGGATGCTGTGGCTCATATTCAGGCCTATTTCTGAACACGACGGGTATATTTTCAAATTTCGTTGAAGTATCCCAACACTCGCCAGATTCAGCCGCCATTGCCGACCTTCTCTTGTCTTACAGAGATGCCGAGCCACTGAAGCGGGCTTTTGACGAGCCCTTTACAAAGGGCCTATGCTGGGGAGGAAGGGACACAGTAGCACCTAAAGTGGCCATAACCCTGCTCTGCTGTGGCAATGATGAAGTGAAGCGAAACGGAATAAGAGGAAACAAAAAACTGAGGTCGGTTTATGGCGGCGCCCATGCACAACAGCTGCCTGAAAGTGTTTTATAAACTACGCCAGTGAACATAAATAGATTTCTCGGCGCTTTACCATCCGCGCACGTCCACGGGCTTCGAGACATGACCAATTAAAAATAGAAAATGCACCTCCGTTAAAGAAGACGATAACGAAAA